CTCCTCAGTACATCTGAAACACACTTTGAGAGCTGCAGTGGACTCTTAACATTTCAAGGGCAATGTGTCACCTTATACAAGCCCCATTTCAGGACCTCCCCACTAGTTAGCAAAGGATTTGAGTACATGCATAAGTGCTTAATCAGAGCCATCATGCCTTCTAAAAAGTAAGGAATGCACTGTCCAAAATTTCCCTTTCTTAGTGTAATGCAGTATCTCATCTGATTTGATTATCAACATGTATCAGTTGACTGAGTCTTGAATATTAGTACTCAGATCTTTAACTGGACTCAATTCAATAGGGTGTGAGTGGAGACAGCAGAGCACTGCCTGCTAGGCAGACAGGCTGCTGCATCTTCTGTCAGTTGAAGCTATCTCAGGGCAAGGCTTCATTCCTGCATAAGTCACTGATTAGGTAGGGAGGAAAGCATGAACTTTTCTAAAAAATGAAGAAAATAGGATTTAAGAGGTACTGAATTGATAGCCTACACACCTTTTTATCCACAGCAAATGTAGCACTGTCGCAGGTTTGTCTGCCAGTATAGCGCACCCTATACCTAGATTCCTAGAGCAGGGATTCTGAAACCTTTAACATGGCATGGGTCACTTGGTGTGTCTCAGGGATACTTCTCCTAGTCATGATAGCACAGACCTCTTCTCCCATTATTAATCATAACATGTTTGGGCAGCCACACAACAGTTGCTTAATGGGAAAAGTAATATAGTGTAAAAAAAAAAAAAAAAAACTACAACGTGAACACCAGCCAGCCTACCTGCAAGTCTTCCACTGACTGGTGATTGTCTGCTGTTCTAAGTGATCCACTCTAGTTCAATCTTGATCTTTTTGTATAGCTAGAACTGTCAGGTATAGTACAACCTGGGTAATCTATGTACTTAATCAGTACCAAAACTAGTTAAGGTTTTAGCATGCTGTAGTGAAGTATCTTTTCTAAGCATCTGGTAAAATATTCTACAGTGCCTAATCAAAAATCAATTACAATTGTCAAAACAGAGTACACTTTAGCAAATTAAAACCATGGTTGATAGGTTTTAATGTGCAAAACTTAACTTGCAAAGAGTCTCCCACTTACAGAAATTTAAAGTTTATCTGTGATAGATGTTACCTGGATATTTGGCAGCTGTTTAGTGGTCTTACTGTGTTACCAGATGATATTTAAAAGATGTTACTGACTCTATGAATGGCTCTAATTCTTATTACTAAGCTTCTGAACAATCTAGCCCCCTGCAGTTATCTTGAGTCACCTACACTAGTGTAAATTCTCTAATGCAGGGTTCTCAGAACTTTCAACACCAGGCACCATCCTCCATGTTAAATTGTTTCACTATTCCCATCCCCCCACATCTTGTTATATGCAGAAGAAATTGTTACAATAATCAACTGCAACTACTAATTCTCAAGTTCTGAAGAGTAAACTTATACTCTCCCTTTTAAGAACTCATGAGCTTGTCTTTCTGAGGGGAGATTCCACATGAGGTTGAACCGAGTTATCTATCCACCGGTGACAGCAACTATTTTTGATCACCACAGAGAAACCTCGCTTAGAGTTACAAGATGGAAAGTTTTCAAGGTTTCTGCAGCTAAAGCAGATAATCTGTCAATGTGCGAAATTCCTCTTCAATTAGGTGCAGGAACCAGTCTCAGGTCTGTCAGTCTATCCTGCAATGGCACATTCAACATTGATAAAACTGTCTTCTGAATAAAGGGGTTGATGGTCCACCTCTTTATCCTTTGGGTACCAGGCTAGTAGTGCCACTGCTGGGCCTGAGGTTCACTCAGATTCTGACTGAATTTGATAGTTCCTGACCAACTCCTCAGTTCCTTCAAAGTTTGAAACCAGGCTTCAAGTTTCACGTTCACAAGTTTCTTCTTTGTGTCCAGAAGGCCAATTTACAAATGTTAGTGAATACTTCTACCTTCTCATGCAGGGAGAGAACACTCCTATTCTGCTCCCAGAGAAGAGTCCAGCTCGTTTAGGTTACCAAAGACGTTTAAATTGTCACCTTCAATAACGTCTTCTCTGGTATCGGCAAAAACAATTACTGATAATTGAGATTAAAGATAATACCTGCCCCAAAATGCTCAGTCTAAGTAGCCAAACAACATAATGAAAGTTGTTTCTTTTGGGGGGGGCAGTAGCAAAGATGGAGCATGTGTTTTATCATACAGGAAAACCTAAACTCTACCTCATAAGTAGCCTCACTTAAATGAGAAAGTTACCAGTAAAAGGAACCTGTCGTCAGAACAATGCAAAAAGTCAACTTACTGGACAGCTTTTAACTAAATTCACTATTTGCAACAGCTTCCTGAAGGTCCAGGTACTGCTTTACAGGTGCTACTAGTAGCAACAGTTCAGTGTAGAAGGTGACATCCTGGCATTAGTTGCGATGAGTTGGAGCTCTCTGATCAGACTGCTGTTCTCACCGGTCACTGCCATGACAGCAGCTGTAAAGTTTACAATAAACCATTCTCCTTGAATGTGGTGGAAAGCTTCAACTACTTCTTGGTACAGCTTTTCAAGAGAGGAAGTCTCCAACAAAACAGTCAAATGTACCAGTACTGCAAAGACTGAAAGCTGTGCAGCACCAGACAGTGATTAAATCTTCAAACTGAATTCTTTAGTCAATTTTCCTAAGCTTTGAAAGCAATTGCTCAGATTTAGGCAGCCACATCACCAATACAGTGCAATATATTAATAACATACACTTTTCAATGTGGTAGTCACTGTAGGCGCTATAGCTTATGTAGCCATGTTTGTTGCACAGGAAAATGTAACTTTCTGCAATATGTGCCTCATGCCAAAGGGATGTGTGTGACACTTAGTTTAAATCAACACTTGCTGACTTCTGTCAAGGCCTCAAGTTTATCTTTCAGTGAGTTATTGGACTTTTAAATGCTGTAACAATTTTGAAGGCTTCATGTTCTGAGACAACTTCAGGACAGTGTGTGCTGTAATTATGAATTAGTGTACTTTGTGTTCTGAAGTTCTGTCTTAAAGTATGAAGACTTTAAAGTTGCTGGGTCAACATAAAGCAGGGTTTTTGTTTTTTTGTTTTTTTTTCCCCCTGCGCTCTTCTTAGCAATCATTAAGACAAGAAGCAATGGGCTTAAATTGCAGCCAGAGAGATTTAGGTTGGACATTAGGAAAAACTTCCTAACTGGCGGGGTGGTTAAGCACTGGAATAAACTGCCTAAGGAGGTTGTGGAGTCACCCTCATTGGAGATATTTAAGAGCAGGTTAGACAAACACTTGTCAGGAATGGTCTAGATAATACTTAGTCCTGCCACAAGTGCAGGGAACTAGACTAGATGACCTCTCAAGATCCCTTCCAGTTCTATGATTAGAATAATTCGCTGTCCTTCATGAAACTATCTTTAATTTGCTTGTTAGCCAGAATTTACCTATACAGAATAAATACAGATGCAACAGTAAAGTGAGGTTCAGTGTCCTTGGGTCTCAGCAATTACAGCTAACAGGCTGTTTGCATGCACAGCTTGCAGAATGCAAGAAGTTTAATAGGACCTGTACTGTTTTTGTTTGTTTTTGTATTTAAGGAGTAAATTCAGGCACACAAAGTATAGGTTATAATACTGTTGGGAACAGAGGCTTGAGCAGTCTCCTACTTACTCATCCTTCACTAGACTAAATTGCTAATTAGAGTTCTCAGATTATAGTAATATTGTGGCCTTAAAGGACATCACTAAGGGCTAGTCTACACTAGAATCGCTACTGCAGAGCAGTTGTACTGATGTATCTGTAGTGCTGCTAGTGCAGACGCCTTATGCCAACAGGAGAAAACTCTCTCCTCATCATAATTACTCCACCTACCCAAGCAGCAATAGCTATGTCAGCAGGAGAAGAGCTGTCCACACTGGTGATTAAGTCTATGTAACTTATGTTGCTCGGAGGGGTGGCTTTTCCACTCCCCTGAGCAACTTAAGTTATACCAAAATAAGTGCTCATGTGTTCAAGCCCTCAGGGTTTATCCTTTAAGCTAAGTAACACTTCGCAAAAAAGTTATTTAGTATCTTGCCACCTCTGAGGTCCCTTTGCCCCAAGCCACTGCATGATCTCAGAAGTGGTGACCCATAATGTAGGGATCCCTGACGCAAGTTCTGACACCCTAGTTGAGCAAGGTACTTAATCAGGTGCTTACCTTTAGGTAACAGTAGTTCCACTGATTACAGTGGAACTATCCATGTGTTTAAAGATAGGCACATGATTAAGTACCTTGTTTAATTGGGGCTTAGGTACAGCTCTTTTTCCCTCCAACTATTCTGAACCTCCATTTCCAGAACTGTGCCAATAGGGGCAGGAACAGGAAGGAAGGCTGTCTAAAGGTGGCCTTTAATCTTTCATTACATGGGAATTTTCAGTTTTGGGGGCAAACCTGACAAATTAAAAGATTACCAGATTTAAGTATCAACCATTTAACACTTCTAAGAAGGCATCTACTAGAAAGCTGTGAACATGTTAAATGTGACATCAGTTTGTTTTAAAAATACAGAAGCTAGTTTAGTTAAACTGAAGGTGTAACTGCACAGCAAAGAAAATAATTAAGATATGAGCTTTCCTATTAACGAAGCTGTCCAGGGCCCTGGAAAAACTGCTCCAGACAAATTTCAGTCTACTGAAACTTGTGTAGATACTGCTAAAGAGGGCAAAACATTTCCTTGCCAAAAGACAGGGAGAGACTTAGTGTTTTTAGTCTGCCTTGGATTCATAATTTTGCTTAATCTTAACTATAATAACAAGCTTCTTTAGCATAACTGTCTGTTCTTTCTTAGGTTAGTTTAGTCTTAGGAGTGCTTGAGTGACCCAAGGAATCCAGTTCTCAAATTGATACTTATAATTCTCCAACTATTTATTAGGAGTGCACAGCTCTCACTATTTCAGTAGCAACTAATAAAAAGTGGCTCCTGATCAACCACATAGTACTTTTCTAGGCACTAGATTTGTAATCTCAGAATTGCATGTTACCTTCATAAAGAGCCCCATTTTGTTCTTGTTCCACAGCCTTCAGGAACAATTCTCTTGCCTGTACAAATTACACAGAACATTTAAAAAAATTGTTACAAGCACCCAAGTAAATCCAGTTACCAGAATTTTCATCCAAGTTGACAACTCTATACTATGAGGTGGTAAGGAGAACAGTAAAAGCACAATTGCATATAATAACATGGAGGTGACGTTCAAGTTCTACTAACAATAACTGAATTTCTGAGCCAACGCAGAGCCTGATCCTAAATCTTGCTTACATCAGTTTTAATTAAATCAGGGCATTAAGCCCTTACAAATAAGGAATTGCATAACTTCTAGCACCACTATCGCCATGGTTGATATAGCACTCACATTAGAAACCTATGAAAATAGGTTTATAAACTAATAATTCCTTTTTGTTTTAAAAGGAGTCTAACTGTGCCATATTTAACTTACCATTTGAATGGTAGCTTATCTCAGGAATGAACAAGCTTTCTAAAGTTTTATTGCTTTGCAAAGAAGGATTGATAATTTGTTCATGTCACCAAAATTGGCACGGGAGTGAAGATCTTCCACTTATTTAAAGTATCACACTTTTGCCTAGAGACACTTTGGCTCTAACTCGGTTTTCTTTTTAAAAAAAAAAAAGTCCAGGCCAATTCTGGAAGTGTCGTGCAAAGCACTTGTGAAAGCAATGCTCAGGAAGTGAAACAGAAAGCATCTGGCTGATATTAGAGTCAAATCCACAGAGTTGACCTACAGGAGCAAAAGCACATCAATTGCAAATCCAGTCTGCAACAATAAAGAACAGTGGGACCTGCAAAAGAGTACTAAGTGATCCAAAAAGTCAAGAGTATTGTGGGGGCCATACTGCTACACTATGTTTGGAAAGAACTTTCACAAATGCAGGTGAATAGCCAGAGCAAAAATGGAAATGTGTGCAAGAAGTCAGACAGGGGAAAGAAGGCAGGAGGGCTCTTATTTCCTTTTCTTTAACTGGGAGAGAAAATGCCAGCTGAACTTAACCAGAGCACATTAGTGATAGACCTAGTTCAGAAGCTCTTTAGCTTTCTTAGTGTTTGCACATATCCATTACAAGAAGATATGATTGACAAACTTCATTTCATTTTACCTCTGACTTCATTCAACTGGAACACACCTATATAACACCCACTGTTAAAGGAGGTAGGCCGCTATCACTTCACAATACATATATTTGGTGAAGGAGGCAAAGCCACGCATGAGAAGGAGGAGGAAAAGGGGATAGGATTTTGAGGGAAGGTGGCGAAAGGTAAGGAACACAGGGCTAGATTCACAAAGGGACTTATGTGCCCAACTTCAACAGTTTGGCACCACTGGCATTCACAAAACCCCTGCTCGGCTACCACCTAACCCTGTGACAAACTGGCCCTACATTTTGGTAGTAAAAGTCCTCTGGGCGCCTCAGTTTCTGCCTCTGTGCACGCATACTGCTGTCTCACTAAGCATATGGACACCTAAACCCCAGCAAAATCCACAAAGCAGGGGAAGATAGGAGTTCTTCTGCCTTTCACATCTGCAGGGCCCAATCCAGTAGGCTGAACTTGGAATTCACCTACCAGACCTGGGCCCATTCAAAATCTGGCCAGAGAGGAGGTAGGAGCAATAGTGCCCACCTTATAGCTTTAGTGATTAAAGCACTCACCCAGGATGTGGGAGACCTGGTTTCAATTCTCCCCTCAGGCTGAAGGAAGAAAATGCCCTCAGTCTCTCCTGATAGTGCAACAGCTTTTTGTATAACTAGTCATTGGAGCAAAGGTACTGGAACCTGGGTCTCCCTCCTTCCAGGTGAGAACCCAAACCACCAAACTATAGTCACTCTCATTCATTCTCTCTCTTTTATATTTATATATGCAGGAGAGGCTTCACAGCAGAGAATCCCAAGCAGGAAACAGCACATTCCTGCAGCCCAGACTTAAGACCCTAACTCCTTGGAAGGAGTGAGGCTTAGGACACACCCTGTCCTTGGCATCTCCCAATGGCTAGCTAAGGCAGCGCCTCACTCAATATGCTGACTTTTGGAAATCCCATTCTTAGCATATAACTACACTTACCGCAGAGTACAGACACCCAGCTAGCATGAGTATAAATAGCACTGTAGACTGAGTACAGTTCATGTGAGGAGAATGCCCTTCACACCTGAACCCCATCCCCTCCCCAGGTATGTAACCTATGAGAGCTCTCTACACACCTGAGTAGTGCCTCCCACATCTACAATGCTATTTTTAGCAGTGTAGTGTCCCACTGCCAGAGGCTTTCCCTACTGCACTGAAAGACTCCAACAGCTCCCCTCTGCCACAGTCCTTCACTGACGCATATAGCTCACACCACAGTTCCAAGTGTGGATGCAGCCTGCCTTTCGCTGTAGCAAGTGGCTACACATGAAGTGCTTGTACTCTACGTAGTCTTAGCTACCTATCTCCCCTATGCACTCCCCTATAGGGAGCTTGAGCACCTAACTCAGAGTTTGTGAATCCCAAATTTCTAGGCTCCTAAAACTTAGGCACCACACCATCCCTTTGTGAATCTAGCATACAGAGAGGAAATTATCTGCCTGATCTTTTTCAGGTTTAACCAGAAACTAAACATTCAATGTTAAAAGCTAATGGAATGCTAACAAAGACAGCCCATTAGTAAAATAAGTGATCTTTTTCCTACCTTCTCCTCTTTTGCTAGCTCCTGCTTTCCTTTGGTATCTATAGCCTTTACTCCAGGGCCTCTTGCACGTGGCACAGTTTCCAAACCACCAGAACTCATGCCTGGGGCAAGTTCAAAAATCCACTGAGCTCGAAACATCTGGAGCTCTGCCTAAAAGTGCAGAAACATTAACTCCTAATAGGCTCTCATTTAGCATCTTCTGGGCAGACAGTACATCTCCTGTACAAGAGATTACATAGTCTCTACAGGTTCAATCTACAAATAAGAACTTTGAATATACGTTACACATACAATACTAGCTATACAAGGGTAAATATAGGGACTTTATTTAGCAAACTCTGGTTGAGATTAGAATTGGCATTTCCTCTAGCTTCACTTACAGTGGAATTACCAGAAAAATCACACAAGGAAATGCTATGGTTTATGGACAATTTAGCTCCAACAATGCAATTACTTCTGTTTGGATGATTCAGTATGCAGAAGAAAGTTTAGGTTGTTGCAAGAAGTGATTATGATATAGTTAATACTGGCCTAAATTCATAGAAATAATCTCACTGTCTTCTTTCTGAATATGTTAAAATAAGTCTACTTGCTCATTCATATATAATTTAAGAAAATGTCAGCTCAATGTTTTAAATTAATTTCAATTTTATATAGCAAAATTGGTTTATTATATTCACAAGTGTCTTATTGTAAACTAGCTTTGATTACAATTAGGGCTGTCGATTAATCGCAGTTAACCCATGTGATTAACTCAAAAAATTAATCGTGATTAATCGCACTGTTAAACAATAGAATACCAACTGAAATTAAATAAATATTTTTGGATGTTTTTCTACATTTTCAAATATATTGATTTCTATTACAACACAGAATACAAAGTGACATGCTCACTTTATATTTTTGATTACAAATATTTGCACTGTAAAAATGATATAATATTTTTGAATTCACCTCATACAAGTACTGTAGTGCAATCTCTATCGTGAAGGTGTAACTTACAAATGTAGACTTTTTTTTGTTTTGTTTTTGGTTACATAACTGCACTCAAAAACAAAACAATGTAAAACTTTAGAGCCTAAGAGTCCACTCAGTCCTACTTCTTGTTCAGCCAATCACGAAGACAACCAAGTTTGTTTACATTTACGGGAGATACTACTGCCTGCTTATTTACAATATCACCTGAAAGTGAGAACAGGAGTTCATATGGCACTTTTTTGAAGCCGGCGTTGCAAGGTATTTACGTGCCAGATATGCTAAACATTCGTATGCCGTTTCATGCTTCAGCCACCATTCCAGAGGACATGCTTCCATACTGATGTTCATTTAAAAAAAAAAAAAGTGCATTAAGTAAGTGTGTGACTGAACTTCTTGGGGGAGAACTGTATGTCCCCTGCTCTGTTTTAACCACATTCTGCTATATGTTTCATGTTATAGCAGTCTCGGATGATGATCCAGCACATGTTGTTTGATTTACAAACACGGTCATTGCAGATTTGACAAAATGCAAAGAAGATACCAATTTGAGATTTCTAAAAATAGCTACAGGACTCGACACAAGGTTTAAGAATCTGAAGTGCCTTCCAAAATCTGAGAGGGATGAGGCGTGGAGCGTACTTTCAGAAGTCTTAAAAGTACAGCACTCAGATGCGGAAACTACAGAACCTGAACCACCAAAAAAGAAAATCAACCTTCTGCTGGTAGCATGTGACTCAGATGATGAAAATGAACATGCATTGGTCCACTCTGCTTTGGATCATTATCGAGCAGAACCCATCATCAGCATGGATGCATATCCTCTGGAATGGTGGCTGAAGAATGAAGGGACATGTGTATCTTTAGCGCATCCGGCAAGTAAATCTCTTGCGACGCCTATGCGAACGCCTGTTCTCACTTTCAGGTGACATTTTAAACAAGAAGCAGGCAGCATTAGCTCCTGCAAATGTAACCAAACTTGTTTGTCTGAGCAACTGGCTGAAGTAGGACTGAGTGGACTTCTAGGCTCTAAAGTTTTACATTTTTATTTTTGAATGCAGTTATTTTTTGTACATAATTCGACATTTGCAAGTTCCATTTTCATGATAGAGATTGCACTACAGTATTTATATTAGGTGAATTGAAAATACAATTTCTTTTGTTATTTACAGTGCGAATACTTGTAATCAAAAATGAATATAAAGTGAGCACTGTACATTTTGTATTCTGTGTTGTAATTGAAATCAATATATTTGAAAATGTAGAAAACACCAAAAAAATTAATATATGGTAATGTTTAACAGCGCAATGAATTTTTTAATCGCTTGAGAGCCCTAAATAGAATCAAGGTTATAACTTGAATTTGTAGGGGTTTATTTGTTTGTTTGTTTTAAAATGGGGAGGGTAATATGGTATAAAACAAAGGTGAAGTCACCATATGACACTTCCCTCATTGAAGTTTGCCTTCAGTGTATATTTGAAAGTATATTTTAACCTTAATGCCAAGGTTTTTTTGTATTAATATGTGGAAACAAGTACCACAGGAAAAAGTATCATATCGCAGAATGTGCTTTTACTTATGGGATGGCTTAAACTGCACCATATCAGCTTTCTACTACGGAAGAAAATGCCAACTGAACTTCATTTCAAAAGAACATAACTTTAGACATACCTGAAGATTTGCTTCACCAGGCCTTTCATTGTCATCAGCTCTTATCAGATCAGAGTGACAATCTTCTTCAGCTTCTGCCTAATAGAGAACAGTTAGACATGAATATGCAGTCTGTATATGTACATACATTACTCTGATGTGTGCGAACTGCACAAACTCATTACAAAAAAAAACATGTTCCCCCTCAAAATAATGTCCCTGTTGACATCAACTTAATATTTGGCTAAATTAAGTTTAGTGGCATTACCTGTTGAAACTGATAATGAAATAAGCATTTTGCATTTCACTTAAACTGGGTAATGTAGAGTCTAGCTAGATGTCATTTGCCATTTTACATGCATCAGTGCACTGCTGCAATGTTTGGATTGAAAACATTGTAGGGGAACCTAACTCCATAAAAAGAGGACTTTGAAATTTCACTCATAAAAACATATTTTAGACAACTGACTGCACCTTGTACTGCCTTCTCCCAGGTAAAATCAAGAGTTCAATGTAATGGTGCCACTTCTTATTTAAACTTTTGTTGCTGAAAGGTGTGTTACAGAAGCAGTTTCTATATTAAAGGGGATTTTCAGCCACAATGTCTTTGCTGCATATAACTGGTACATCATTCAGCAGTGAAGTGATTAATAATATTAACTCTGAAGCTTAATCAATGCAGCTAGTACATATCTCTTGGGGCTATTCCAGTTTGGGCTGCAAATGAACACCACAGTGCACCAGTTTGCACTTTGAAGCAACCATCCCAAACAGAAAAAGCTAGAACCAAATACAGCTCTGATGTTGCTCTACTGATCTCAATGGAACTAGGCCTACTTATACTGAAATCTGGCCCTTTAACGTTTGAGAAAGTTTGTAGAATTCTTCAGAACTTGGATGGAAAACTTAAGCAGATTTCAAACACGATGTAGTTATAAAACACTGACACCAATATGTACTTCAAAACTATAGTAAATATTCCAATATAATATATGGTCACACTAACAGCAACATACTTTGACTTATTGCAGAAAGCAAAATGTTCACTAAAGGAATTCTGCTAGTCCCGAAGATACGTATCAGTCACACACTTTCTGTGGCCACTAAGCAGGTTAAATTAGTTTTACTCTAAGATAGTACTAGCAGCAATGCTGGAGGTATTGTGATGCTATAACTACAGTAGAACCTCAGAGTTACAAACACCTTGGGCATGGAGGTTGTTCGTAACTCTGAACAAAACGTTACAGGTCTTTCAAAAGTTTACAACTGAACATTGAGTCAATACGGCTTTGAAACTTTACTACACAGAAGAAAAATGCTGCTTTCCATTTATTTTTTAGTAGTTTACATTTAACACAGTACTGTACCTGTTTGTTTGTTTTTATCTCTGCTGCTGCCTGATTGTGTACTTCCAGTTCCAGATGAGATGGTGGTTGACTGGTCAATTTGTAACTCTGAGGTTCTACTGTATGAAGCTGATAGCTAAGCTATGGGGGTTACACACTAAAGATGTTTCAATATCTGAGTGACAGAAGCTATAGTTTTGATCTACAATATTCAACAGGATAAGATAATGCCCCAAAGTTACTATGATACTTGCTGGAATATTTAGACAGGGAAAGAAAAGAGCTCCTGCTGGAATCAGAACACTGAAAAGTTAGTGTTTACTCTGCCTACTGTCGTCTTGTTCATATTGTAGCTAACATCGTGAGATGAAGTGGCTATTTGTTTTGTCAATAATGGCATTTTAGAATTTCTATTTATTTCTTTCAGTCCCTTACGACTGCAAGAGAGGAGGAACTGTCATGTATTAACTAAGTCTCAACTTTAAATATATCTTAAGAGCCACATCTGATCTTGTTGGCTGACCTTCTTACTGGAAACAGATAGGAGTATCCCTACTAAGAATAATTTTAAAAGGTTGCAAACCTTTCAAGAGTCAATTTTGTTTAAGTACTGGTAAAACCAGATATTCACCTGTTGATTTGCGGAGGGTGGGATATTTAAACATAGCTAATCAAAATAGAAACTTTACAGTCTTTTACACGCTCATCTAGGATTTTGGAAGAGTTATGGTAGTGTCCCCCTGATCTAGACATCAACTTATGCAAACAAAGTTTTCAGTCTAGTCTTATTTTTTCTAGGCTGAAAGTTTGTGCCATCATGCAGACCTTTGCAGTAAAGCTTTCTGTAAACATTCTATTCACGGTTACTGAATTAAGTGCATGGATCTTTATTAAATCAAAGCATACAAACAGAGCCAAAAGAAACATGAAGTGCACCTTGTGCTTCATGAGCACAGTGCCATTTTAAAATGCCCTTATAGTTAAACACGTGTTTTGGGTTTTTTTAAATATAGCAGTTAATCTTTTTTAGACTGTAGTTTGAATATTTTTTGTATACTGCACATTAAGAGGAGACTAGTGCTTAGAGTTATAAGATGTAAACTATAACAGCCTCACTTGTGTGGACAACTTGAACTTGGAAGATAATGTTTAATATAGATTTACAACCTTTGCTGATGATAAAAAGATAAACTGGAGCTGCCCATAACTTTAAAATTAAAGTCTTTTATACAATTTTATATTTAAGGAGCATGAATCTAGTTCAACAGGACTGGCATACATGTTAACTTGAACAAAGCTAAACAGACCCCACTCCCAAAGAGAGCCAATTCTAGAACAGAGGACTAAAAATATACAACTGCTTTAAGTAGTTGCCCATTCAACAAAGGATCAAAACACATTATAAAGTGCACTTAAGTTGTAAACAAGCTATCCTAATAAACTTCTGTCTTGCTTAAGTTTGAATACCAGTATGACAAATTGCTACAAATCATGTAGCAACAGCACACAAACAGACTTGTCACTCAGTGATCAGTCTGCCTGAGAAAGCAGCAGATTTGGTCTTGTCTAAAAGCTGCTGTTGCAGGTGAAGTATCCCAGAAGTTGTACTCCACTCTGATTTAAGATTAGAGGGATTACAAGAGCTGTTTAAATTTATAGTTCTGCAAAAGCCTGTTTGATAGGATGCAAATTCACCTTTTAGCTTGAGTTTTAAACTGATTTTGGGGGAGGGGGAGAGATGTAGAATTCAGCATTTTTTAGTTGCACAGTAGGTCTCTCCTAGATGTTGCTAGAATTCTCTGTCATGCCAAAGAGACCTAGCATTACATTTTTGTACTTATTAATGGGGTTCTCAGCAATTCTAAAGGAAATTAAGGGGGGAAATTAATTGCATGATTACTCTGTTTAATCTCGTGATTAAACAGTAGAATACCATTTATTTAAATATTTTTGCATGTCTTCTACATTTTCAATTACAATACAGAATATAAAGTGTACAGTGCTCACTTTATATTTTTGTTTGCAAATATTTGCACTGTAAAAAAATAGTATTTTTCAATTCACTTAATATAAGTACTGTAGTGCTCTCTCTTTATCATGAAAGTTGAACTTACAAATGTAGAATTATGTACAAAAAAATCTGCATTTAAAAACTAAACAATTTAAGACTTTAGAGCCTACAAGTCCACTCAGTCCTACTTCTTGTTCAGCCAATCGCTAATGGAATGATGGCCGAAGCATGAAGGGGCATACGAATTTTTAGCATATCTGGCGCATAAATACCTTGCAACGCTGGCTATAAAAGTTCCATGCGAATGCCTGTTCTCTGTTTCAGGTGACATTGTAAATAAGAAGTGGGCAGCATTATCTCCTGCAAATGTAAACAAACTTCAGAGGGGTAGCCGTGTTAGTCTGGATCTGTAAAAAAACAAAGAGTCCTGTGGCACCTTATAGACTAACAGATGTATTGGAGCATAAGCCTGCATGGGTGAATACCCACTTCGTCAGACGTATGTATGTGTGTCTGACGAAGTGGGTATTCACCCATGAAAGCTTATGCTCCAATACATCCGTTAGTCTATAAGGTGCCACAGGACTCTTTGTTGCTGTAAACAAACTTGTTTCTCTTGGCGATTGGCTGAACAAGAAGTAGGACTGAGTGGACTTGTAGGCTCTGAAGTTTTAAATTGTTTTGTTTTTGAGTGCAGTTATGTAACAAAAAAAATTTATAAGTTGCACTTTCACGATAAAGAGATCACACTATAGTACTTGTATGAGGTGAATTGAAAAATACTATATCTTTTATCATTTTTACAGTGCAAATATTTGTAATCAAAACAATAATATAAAGTGAACAAGGTACACTTTATTCTGTTGTAATTGAAATCAATATTTGAAAATGCAGAAAAACATCCAAAAATATTTAAATTTCAATTGATTAAAACTGCGATAAATCGGGATTTTTTTTTTAGTTAATAGTGTGAGTTAATTGCGATTAATCGACAGCCCTAAAGGAAATACTGTAGGCTTCTTCAGTATAGATTTAATTTCCTTCACAGTACAAATGCAAAAATTCAGGTCTCCATGAACTTGCATCACCAGATTATTCCATCTGAAAGTCCTATAATAAGTAAATTACATCACATTGCTGTGCTCCACTTAAATGAAGTATGCCAAGACTATATTTGTTTTACATAATAGATGAAATGACAGCCAGAAGATCCTTTTTGTTTTCTGGAGTCCCACTTGGGTATCTTCTGTCCCAAATTACTACAAGTTAGCTGGGCTAGCTTGTTATCCATATATGCATTGATTTTATCAATATTTGAATGATTTGTCCCAGGATTGCTGATATCTTTCAGGATTTGCATAGCAGACCGCACAACCTGCAGCATGGCAGAGTGAGTAGATAATACTACATCTGTTTCTGCAGTCTGTGATCTGAGCTTAAAACTGCACTTCTTCTGAATTTCTTAATGTTGCTTCCTGTACTAGTCATCAGGTTATCCAAAACAGTCAAAATATAAAACCCTAGTTTGAACCAGACATTCATCTTAGAATGCATGTTTCACTCTGCTGGCAACACTGCTTCTTAAATTTGGATTATAATGGGACTCTGCCCTTACTTCCTGGTAGACATTGTGTACTGGACTACAGTGCCCCCATCACTGTAGCATTTCAGTATCTAATCATGTTCTGTAAACCCAACAAACCCCGATATCTTCTAGGAAGTGAGGGCATGATCCCAATAAAACTTAAAAAGTAACTACCTGTTTAACTAGACAAAGTGGTGAACTTTTAAATCTTAAAATTGACAATTGTCCGGAACAAAATACCCAACTTTAGATCCAATCTGTTTTTAAGTAACCTACTACAAGATGTCTTTGGTGGAATCATGACTTTTTTCCTCCAAGCTTGTGTCTGACCCAACTGTACTTTCACTCTCCTTTGTGCCAAGGACACAACTCCTCGCTTTGCCACTAAGACTTTACTCTGGCCCAGGGGTAGGCAACCTATGGCACGCGTGCCAAAGGCAGCACGTGAGCTGATTTTCAGTGGCACTCACTGCCCGGGTCCTGGCCACCGGTCTGGGGGACTCTGCATTTTAATTTAATTTAATTTTAAATGAAGCTTCTTAAACATTTTAAAAACCTTATTTACTTTACATTCAACAATAGTTTAGTTATATATTATAGACATAGAAAGAGACCTTCTAAAAACATTAAAATGTATTACTGGCACGCGAAACCTTAAATTAGAGTGAATAAATGAAGACTCGGCACACCACTTCTGAAAGGTTGCCGATCCCTTCTCTGGCCAGTAGCCTTCCAGAGTGAAATTCAATGCTGTTCAGGAAGTCCTTACAGAAGAGAGAGTCCTATAACTAATTGCTCATCTTCAATCCAAGGAAGCAAGACTGCCACTCTGAACTTCAAGGTCCTGCCCAAAACCAACTGTCAGAACTGCTGAGCCTTCAAGCTGCCGTTATAAACTGAGAGTTCTGAATTCCATTGGTCTCCCTTTTGTCTGCACTCAGTACAAAGCTCGAACACAACTCACTTCTAATCTGCATCACATATTTAGTTATACTACATCACCACCCAAACAAGAAAGTAAAGCCAGTAAAAGACTTCACCCTGCTGCTTTAAAGGTATTTTCACCTTTAATCACTTTAACATGCACTAATAATTAAGCCATACAGAGTTTACATTAATCTTCCATTTCCCTTAACACTGAAATAAACAGCCACAAAGGGAAACAGTCAATTTGTTACTGGCTGTACAGGTCAAAATCTAAAAACAGCTGGGTCAATTTAATTCACGTTTGTTTACAAAGAACTTGCCACGTTTCAAAAGCTTGTTATTTGCAGAGCTCGGTTATCACTGTCCTGCAAACCTGCACTATACAGTGCATTTCTGAGACAATACAGCAGACTATCAATTACTGAAGAAACTCCATTGAAGTTTTACTGTAGCCAAGGTCTGAACAAAGACCTTCACAGAACCAGTATTAACAGTGAAAAGTGAGCCTCCCTGACTCAGTAAGTGTTAATGTGCTCAACTAATCTAAAACAAAGTCACCCTTCACATCTTTCCATAGCTAACATACCATATTTGGGTTTACACAGACTTTAGGCAAAAATGACATCATTAATCTTCAAACCAGAACAGGCAGAAATTTTTTCCTCCACCTATAATGTTACAGACTTAGAGCCAGGAAAGTCTTTGACTTTGACCTTGCCCTATTATTTCCTCTGGTTAATATTTTTACCTTTCTCCATGTATCTAATGAGCATTATAATTCGGGTCTGCTTCAAAAGAGCTCTGGGAAGATTAAGGACTTTTCACAGGATATTTCCTTACAGATAAGATCTGTTATGCACAAATATTTTCTCTCCTGGGATATCAGACAAAAACACCTAGACCTCAGATCAGGTCCAGCAAAAGGGCATCTATACTGTGCCCAGCTAAAAAGCACATGGGAAATGTGCACAAGTTCGTGTAGACCGTAGTCACCCAAAGATGAGGTTAAAGCACAGAACTAAAAGCCAGGTGAGTGGGTTCTTTTTAGCAGTGTAAGACAATAAAACCTTATCCATCTGTTTCTACTTAAAGGGAAATAATCTTCTCTGTTCTGTAGAAATATAAAAGCTTAGTTGCTGGGGTAAAGTGGTTTGAGATCTTTTGATTGCTACCATCAGTACCAAGTAGGAGTGTGTCTAGATAATCTGATGATTGATGTTGTAAAAATTCACAGGGAGGTGCAGCCCTCAGGACAACAGTCCCTGTATCCACTGCTTTGCACAGAGCCAAAGCAGACTTGACCTCTGCAGCAAATAGCTCCACCAAGCAGAGAAGCCTGGCCTACTAGGCTCTTCAAAACAGCCCTGAGCCTTCCAAGTCTCTGTAATGTTTTATTGATATGATCATGCACACATCCACGTATAATTCTAATGAGTGGGGGGGGAACAGGGGCTAGCCTGCTTCAAACGGGGCTTGCAGGGCCCCTCCTCTGCTGCCTTGGGGCAGGCGCAACAGCCTGATGCCGCACTGCTGTCCTGGGGCACAACGGGGTGCCACGACGCCACCATCCTCCACTACCTCGCACTGGGATCTCCCCACTCCAGGTGCGTCTGGTCCCAGGCAGCTCGTCCGCCAGGGCACACCCCACAAGGGCCAGGAGCTGAGGGGCGAAGTCAGTGCAGCGCTAGCCCCCGAGACACACACGGGGTTACGGCCCCAGGAGAAGGCAGGGCCCGGCCCACACCGGAGCGGGGAAGCTCCCCAGCGGAGCGGAGAGCAGGGCCGGGCTTCCAGCGGTAAACACCCGCACACCCACCGTTGACGGTTGCCAAGGCCGCCCCCTCCCCTCCGGCAGCCAATGACAGCCGCCGCCTCGGGCCCGCGCCCTGCCCCCAGCCCCCTCCCGCCCCAGGGCCCGCACTGCAGCAGCCGCAGGGAGCAGGCACGGCCGGGCCGGGCGCTGCTCACCATGCTGCGGTCGGTCAGGCAGCGCTGTCTGGGGGTCCTTGCCCCGTGCTCGGTCCGTGTCTCCTCCCCACAGGGTGACTTAGCAGAGTTCTCGGTCGGAGAAGCGCACCACGCAGCGGGAGTAACTGCGAGCCCTGCGTACGGCAGCCATCTTCCCGGAGAGTGAGGGGCAGGAGGACCGGGAGCAGCCGAGACCCTGGCCCAGACAGACCCCCACGAGCACTGAGAGAAAGGACAGAGCGTCGCCCTCCCGACGCACGGGCCGCTTAACTACGGAGCGTCGGCCGTGAGGACTGCAAGTCCCAGCATGCAATACACAATTCTGCCTGCTTCCCCGCTTGGATCAAGGTGGAGCGTTGCCTTCTGGGCAATGTAGTCTCCGTGGGCCTCTCCGTGGGCCACTCCGCTCGAGGAGAAGCATTGCATGATGGGAATTAAATTGTTTTTAACAGGCCAATCAAATGGAAAGGAAGCACAGACTGCTAGGAAGTGTAGTCTCCCATGGGCTATTGAACTAGAGATGGGAGCAGTGGCTGCTGGGACCTGTAGTTCCTGCGGGTTGTACGTACCCCTGCAGGTAGGGCGCTAAGGACGGGGGCTGCTGTTTGCTGATCCACGTTGTAATGACAGTGTGTTTCTGCTAGGGCTAGCCTGGTGCATTGTCTGCCTGCCCAAAGATCAGGCCCAGGCATTGTTGAAGACCATACGTAGAATTACTCAGTGTGGACCAAAGAATAACGTATAATAGCCTCGTAATACAGCACCATTTTCAACCAGTCGAATCCAACGGATATAACAAACTTTATAATTGTATATGAATCGCTTCACCCACCACTGACATGCAGCCATCTCTGGGATGAAATAGGCACCTGTCTGACAATGCTACTTAACAGTGTAGGATCCCACTCCTAAATTGGTATAAGATTGCCCAGACATCTGGATCATGTGAACTCCTCTTGAATTGTGCACAGAAGCAGGAGTCTGTGTTTTCTAATAGAGTCTGATGCAGGATCGTGGCTAAGCAGACTTGTGGACTTCCACTTTAAGTAGCATAGGGAATTTTAGGGAGGTAAAATTGACTATCCGTTCACCACAGAAGCATAAACACTACACACACACACACATTTCCCAAACCCGTTTCACTTGTGGTCTGAGAATAAGAATGAGAAGTTTCCACTGTAAAGGAAAATGTTATAAAAAGGTATGAGCAAGTGAAAATATGAATTTAGAACCTGATCATCCTTCAATTGCAATTGATTGCAAAACTCCCATTGACTTAAACAGGATCCAGGGTTCTAGGACTAAATTTTGCCCTTTGTTGCACCAATGCATCTTAGGGCAAAGTTTGCTTCTTACAATGGAAATTCTTTGAAACCCAAATGACCTAATTATATCATTACTCTGGCTGGCAAAACAGGAAGTCTTCTCTTTAGCTCTGACTCAGAATCCTATCCTGCTTCCCTCTAAGTCAACAGCAAAACTCCAAAGTCCTCAGTAGGAATATGACTGAGAGCCTAAAGATTATTTTAAGGCTCTGATCATGTAACATTTTTCATGCAGGATGACCCCTATAACCGCACACAGCCCCACTGACTTCTCTCGGGCTCCATATGGGCACCAGGATGTATCCACGTGGAACAAATTGCAGAATCCGGGCCTAATTTTTTTTAGTGCTAAGTATGTTTAGTAATAGCCAAGCTTTATATGGATTTTCTCTCTTGAGAACTTTAAAAAAATTTCAGCAAAACTCTTCAGGTCACCTGTTTATTTAAAAAATAATAAATGTAGTGGTGCCTCAATTAGCCAAATGTCAAAATGAGTAAATTTGGATAACAGAGGTTTCTAATAGCTGTGGAAATTTTCAGAGTAAGTATAAATAGACCTCAGGGGATATGACCCTGTTTTAGACAGCTGAGAGTTTTGGATAACTGAGGAGCAGATGACAGCTTTTCAGAACTGTCATGAACATATATCATCCCCCACACAAAATATACTTGTCCTTCTCAATAATAAATATGAAAACATTAATTATATTCTCATATTCTTTTTACAGATTACCCCAAGTGAATGGGCTAGTAGAATTTTGTAAATTCTTATACACTTATATACATAGTTGTGAGACATTACAATAATGATTTAATGCCAGATTCTTCCCTTCAATAAGCATACACTACTCCTATTGTTGTCAAGTATCAGAGGGCTAGCCGTGTTAGTCTGAATCTGTAAAAAGCAACAGAGGGTCCTGTGGCACCTTTAAGACTAACAGAAGTATTGGAGCATAAGCTTTCGTGGGTGAATGCCCACTTCATCAGATGCAAGTATTATGCTCCAATACTTCTATTAGTCTTAAAGGTGCCACAGGACCCTCTGTTGCTTTTTCCTCCTATTGGCTTCACTAAGAATTATGTATGCTTATGTGCAGGCAGAATTTGACCCTTCATTTTTTGTTTTAAATAAAAAAATAAAGTTAAATGCTGCAAAGGTCAAGATCTATTGAAATCTGTATCTGGGATAAAATCTAACTTCTCAAATCTTTAAACCACATTTCTGGAAGTTCTATCACACTTTCAAATTAAGATAGTTAGTTATTTCACAGTGGCTTTCTCAAACTATTGCTCCATGTCATTGAGTTATATAAAGTCAGCCTTTTAAAATGTACGTATTCCACTGCAGAATATATTGTTAGGTAACATTGAAAGGCTAGCAGGTGGCATTCCTGAGTTCTAAGCTCCACTCAGATACTGCCCTGTATGGTTGGGGGGAGGGGAATAAACATTATGTGCCTCAGTTTCCCCATTTTAAAAAAAGTATGAATCAGGGTGGGGGAAGAGGGAAAGAGAAGACATCCTCTCCTGGCAAAGATGTTGGTGCTTAAGTACTTGGTGCCCAATTGATTATTCTTCTCCACTTCCCAGTTCTTAATTCAGCCCTATGTTAAAGTCAGTGGGAGGTTTGGGTGCACAAGGAATGAAGGATCAGGCCCTTCCGGTTTGTAGGCCTTGATCTCAGCTGCTCTGTATTGATGAATCTCTGGGCAGCTCACTGTAGGATCAGGGCCTAGCTGATCATTATAAGATATTTACACTTACTGGCTCAATTTGAGCTCAGTAACAATTTATTAATTACAGGTTTCAGAGTAGCAGCTGTGTTAGTCTGTATCAGCAAAAAAAATGGTTTTTTTTTTTTTGCATTAGCTTGTTATTTTTTTATACTTACATTTGTCTTAAAAAGTTATTAGATTCTCTTACGTGGAGATTGTTTTTAATGAAAAAAACCTAACCCTATCCAGATAGTAAATGAATCCCATGCTGTTTGGCTGTGGAGAGAGAGCACAGTGCAAAGGAAAGGCCAGAGAGGGGAGCTGCTGCGTAGCTTTCACCAGGGAAAGCTCCTGGTTGTCCCTGATTAGTAGCCACATTGCTTTTGTTTGTTTTTCTCCTGGTTGGTGAGCGGAAAACTCCTTTTCTTTTCTTCTCGGCCTCAGTGCAATGATCCTCTGGCAGCTAGATCAGCCCTGGCTTCCCTCAGATGGACTTGCCGCATGGTTTCTTGTAGCTGGGTTTGTACTGTGTATGTTGTGATTTACTAGTGCAGTTTTCTCCTAGATGTAGACAGCATGTTGTACAAACTGTCTGACTGCTCCTCTTAACAGCTATTCTATTACTTTCAAATTGCTGGAAATCCCTTTTAAGGGCTCTACGAGCAATTACAAATTGTCTTTTAGAGCAGTATTATTAGTAGGTTGTAACATAAATGTCCCTAGACATGATGACAGATTTGGAGGTGCCCGAGAATCAGGTTAATCCTCTGTTTTTCTGACCACAGTCGTGTGGATCTTGCCCTGATTCTAATAGCTGGGTTTAAAAGGAGAATATCAGCTGCTTTGGATTGGTGTTTACATTGTGTTTAACATCATTTGTCTACCCCCCACTCCCTACACAATGATTTTAGGCCTTTTCTTGTGACATTTAAAATAGAGCTGTACATGAAAGTTTTCTGACTAGGCCTGCATGGGAGGGACTTCAAGATACTAAATTCTTGTTTAGTAGCAACCATTTATCATGTAATTTTCAGATGGTGTTTTGATTTAGTATGACTTCATTTATGTAAGTGTATATGAAAATTATTCTATGGGGAACATACCGCGTGGCCTACAAATATGACTAGTTAAATTAATACAAATCGTCTTTTGTTTTTGCTTTGAAAATGATAGTTTAAGACTGTTCGTACGCAAATCATAAGGCAAATGTTAAATTTGTTCTCTGTATAGACAACAGTACAGAAAACTCTTATAATGGAGTTTAATTATTCTTTTGCTAGAGTTGCGTAATACCGAGTGATTACCATACAATGGGCTGGATTCATCAAAGGTAAATTAGTTTTTATTTTTACTAATAAATGGCATGCGTGTTCACGGAAAGTGCTGTTAGTTAGGATGCTGCTAGCTCTATTGCTAGTTATCAGATTTCAGATAAACTTCTTTACAGAGAGCCAGAATTTCATAAAAACTGTGCTATTGCCTCCATCCTTGCAGGGTTTAAAAACAAATAATAACATTGAAACTCAGTCATAGGCATTAGCACTGTCTCGTTTGCTTTAGTTTTTTTTTTTTAGAAGTAATTTATGTTAAACAGAAAAGAGAAATCCATCCATACATACCATCATCACATGAATCCAGCTCAATATCATACATGTTTGTAAAATTTCCCTACTCTTTCTAACAGCCTGACCGTCCAAACACTTGTGCATGTGGGTAAATTTACGTGAGTAGTGCCATTGAAGTCAGTGATTTCAGTGGGATTACTCACCTGCATACATGTTTGTAGGATGGCACTCTGAATCAGTTCTTGTCCCTCTTGTGGGGGTGATGGTAGGGGTGAGGAGCCTACCAGTTGCTGGATGTTTTTGGCATTGTGGCTTATCTACTGTTGGTAGCCAAAAGGCATATAGATGAGTTTAGAGGATGTGACTCATACTTAAACACTTATGAAATTGGCAATGGGAGCTTTTCATTCTTAAAAGATTCTTTCAAGCTAGTTTGTATAATGTTTCAAAATGCTTTACGGATACAGAGCTAAACAGTTAACTTAAAACAATATATTCTAAACCAACAGATTTCTTTGCAGAGATTACTTAACAACAAATTAGATCACAATTGAAAGAATTTTTTAAATTGACTTGTCACT